AACTATGTATGAAGGAAACTTTTTTGTGTAAAAATATGCTAAAAATTAACTCAAGAGTATGTAACATATACGTTTTCAGTTTTCATCAGTTTGTAGGCATTTAAAAAGATTAATGTGATCATATAAGTTCGATTAAGTAGCTGTTTTATTCTTTTATTCCTATTTCTATTTTCAAAGATGAACAAAATCAAGACCGAAGCTGGATTGTGTGATAGAGGACCTCTTCAGGTGACCGATAAAAATAGAGTAAGCAGCGAATTAGACTTTTAAAGTTAAATATGTTTAAAGTGAGATACAGCATCATTTTTTATCTATTCAAGCATACATTTCAGATCTGCTGCATGCGTTTGTGAGAAATATAACCGCTGCACTCTAAATGATGCAAAATAGCCTGTCTTAGAGTCGACCAATGTGAAATTTTAAAAAATAAGAGGCATTTATGCCCTTAAATAGATTTAGGAATAATGTATCGACTTCTAAGAATGTCATTTTCGGCTCCCTTTTATGTTTCTTCTATCCTTATTTAAGTTGTGAATAAGCATATTCTTTATCGGTGCCATTTTAAGATTTCAATCATTAGCATCCTATTTAGTTCGTTATAAAGAATCATGTACAAGCTGGGATAATTTGATTTTTAGATGCTTTAACGATTCGTCGGTAGGATGACTCACTAAGGTGCGGCATTTTCATACATTAATCTTTGGGTAGGTCCTTTGCATATAATTGGGATTTTGCCTCATGAAGTTGCAAATTGGGCAATATAAGAAAATTTTGGATTATGTTCGGAAAATATGCCCTGAAGGTGCAGTTTCAGAAAAGCACAACATTCTGAATATGTATTGAGTGAAAAATACTGTTTCAGAAAATGCATCTATAGGCTCAGCTTAGTTCTGAATAAAAAAGATTAGCTAATATAAATGGGAAAGAAATAAATTTTTCTCCGCTTGGTTCAAAGAGAAGTTTTTACGATGGAGCATTTCAATGCCAGGCAGAAAAACACATTATTTAGCCTTGACCGGTAATAATTGTGAATAGAATTTTCTACGCTACAGTTCCGTACTCGCCTCGGAGTCCTCTGATGGGATTCATTTCTAGATCGAGTGCGTCGACCAGAAGCATTACCATAGTGACATGACTTTTAATCTTGAAGTGTAGCTTGGTTTGAAGGAATTTGTTATTTGCTCTTAACGGAAACCAAAGGAATATTTCCTCAGAGTTGAGTGAAGCATTTTGGATTGTGGACAAAAGTCTTAGGCCCATTGTACTGCGATCCCGATCAAACTGTGCTAAATGTTCACTTATATCGTCTTGACTGTCCCCGTCAGAGAGATAATAAGCCAACAAAATAAGCATATGGTATAGATTCTGGTGCGCTTTTTCCTAAAGTATAGTTTCTTGCATTAACGATGTCAGTCTGAAAAGTCTCATGGATTGTCCGATTGCACCGACACACGGGCACAGATACACAGACACGCTCATTTATAAATATCAATAAATATTTTAGACCTATAAGTTTCTGGGCGGATATGAAGACAAGTCAACAAAAGTTATATTTATGTAGCCTTTACAGATTAGAACATCTAAGACACCGTCAACTTACGGTCTTCTGAAGATACATAAGCATGTAGTTCCCTCAAGATTGATTGTACATAATAAAGGAAGTGTGATGAGTAGGTTTTCAATTTTTCTATGCAGACAATTAAGGCAAGTGGCTGAGTCTTATACATATTCTATGAAGAATTCATATGAATTTTTTAGATTGGTTGATCAACCAAGTATTTATATAGGAGGACCTTTTTGGTTAGTTTCGATGCATACTAGCAACTAGTTCAGGAGGCTACTGAAGCATTAGTCCTAGCCTCGATAAATACGCATATATCTTTGGGAGAGCAAATCTGAGCAGACTCAATTCTGACACTACTTAACCTATCAATGAATAGTAAATACCTCAACTCTAGAACTAATTTTTACGAGGAGGTGCGTGATCTGGTACTGGGTTCTTGTTTGGCTTCTATTTCAGCGAGTAATTATATGCCGAAAATGGAGGAACGCTTCAAGACTTTCAGTTAGATTATATGGATGATTATGCTGCAATATGGTGGCGTGATCAGGAAAGATTGGATAATTTCCTGTTCTTAATTAACCAGATTAATTTTAAGGTTGATTTGACAATGGAGATATAGCAGAAGAATTAA